TTTTGATGCTATCATGGACATGGACTGGTTGGCAGCTTGCTATGCCATAGTTGATTGTCGAGCAAGGCAGCCAAATTTCAGTTTCCGGGTAAGCCAGTCCTTGAATGGGTAGGTAATACAGCGACACCCAAAGCACTACTGAAAAATTGGTCTACGGTAACAGTTGGACAACCGTTCCCATAAAATTTCAAACCGTTGCCATAGGTATATTGGAACAGTTTATAACCCGTTACATCCGCTCGCATGCCAATATGCCTATTGGAACGGTGCTTGTAACAGTTTGCATCATCGTGATTATAGATACGTCTATCCCAATGGTTTTCACCTTCTCTGTTGGAACGTTTATTTTTTTCAATTGAACATTTTAAAACCGTTACTATATTGTTTGCACAACGGTTCTTAACCGTTACCATATTATTTAAAACAACACTTATGTAAGCTATTTTAAGATTATGTATGGATATAACAATAGTTTCTGTAAGCTATCACAACAGTTATATTTGTATTTGGAACGGTTTATAGATCAGTTTGGAATATTTTATAGGATCTATTGCAATGGTATACATTGTCTACTGGAACGTCATTTGTGTCTTATTGCAACGGTTTTGGTAGGCTATTGTATCAGTTCAATTAAAACAAAAATATAACACCTGTTATAAATAAATATTTATATATATATAACAAAATAATAATAACACTAGTTTTTAAATATATCATAAAATAAAACTATTAATAATATAAAATTATCCTTCAAACAAATAATATCCATAAAGCAAATGTTGTACCCAAAGTGCATAAGTTTAGTACATTTCAAGAGAGTAAGTTTCAAAAATGTTGATAACAAAAGATTCCTAGAACATTCATCTATAACAATTTAAAATTCTATCTCAAGTAAGGTCTAGTTCTTCTTCATCATCCATTTCTTGATCTACTCCACCTACAAAAGAGAATAAATAAAGTTATTAACAGTTTTAAACTTCTGAATGAAACAACATGATCTGATTGTACTTCCATTACTTTTTCAAAGGAATAAAAGTAATGGAACAACTTCAGCTAACTTTTATGAATAAAACGACATGATCTGATTGTACATTTCTTCCATTTGAAGCAAGAAATCAAGATCACTACACTTACACCCAACTAAGTTGTAAAAGCAGCTAGCTTTTATGAACTATATATTAAAAAATTAAAAAAAATAGCTTCAGAAATCAAGTCTTCCAATCTGATACAGAGTATATTGACTAAGTAATAAACATCTAGAAAGGGCACATATGAATCAAGAAATCAAGATCTTTGAACTTACCCAGGTAAATATATAAAGACATCAAGTCATTGGACTATATATATTAGACAATAGAAGAAGCAACTTACAAATTCAATTTCTTCCAATATTATTCCAAGATTACATTTGACAAAGTTAGAAACCTCTAAAACAAGTCAAAACATGAAGCAAGAAATCAAGATTATTACACTTATCCACTTAAATATGTAAAGGCAACAACTTTTGGACTTAAAATATTTTGAAAAATGAAGCAGCAACTAGCAACTTTACAGTAGTACTTATTAAAAGCTGAGGCTGAAAAGCCTGCAGATAATGTTAAGAGTAAACTTTAAATTTTGGGTAATGGCTTTATTTGGAGGTTGTTCTTTATATATCCTAGCATTATTACCATTCTTGTTGTTATGAATTACAGGTTACTCTGGTGGTCAAGCCACGGTTGTGGGATCTGTTGTGATGACTAACCTCACAAGAGGGATAAGAAAAGGAGCTTAGGAAAGGTCAGAGGTATATTTTTTCTCCAAGTGAAGTAATTCCTATGTGTTGGAGACTATTTAAGTACAAAAACACATTTATACTATGACTTTTAATTTTATATAGAAAGTCTGCAACATGTTGTAGTTTTTAATTTGTTAAGAACTTAGTGTTTCAGTCAATTAATGTTAAATTAAATGTTCAAACGTTTTGTTATTCAGATATATGTGGTGGAGATAAGAATATTGGATATGATTATTAAGATACATACCAATTAGAAGGTGTGATTTTGATACACATTCTAACCAAGTCAGTGAAGTCCTCAACAAACTTAGACACATATCTATATCACTGTCCAATTCTAAACATATAATGCAGCACTAATCCAAAATTGCTACAAGAATGAACCTTAGAGCTACTTCTTAGCAATGTACAATGCCCGAAAATGTAGGAACCCCAAACAAGACAATCAAGTTTGACACATAAGTACCAAGTCCCAACCACAACTAAAACCTCAACCATTGACTCTCAGTCGGACATAGAGAAGTTGGATACTAATAATACTGAAATAGGCACATCAATAGGAAGAAAAAAGGATATTACCATATCCACTCGTGCAGATTTGACTTAAAAAAACAGCTAACTTGAGAGCTCACCCGTGCAGATTTGCTACCAAAATTACTGCAGAAAACCGCTAAGAAACAGCCTAGATTTCAACTTTTAATTGCTGTAGTTCTACTGTTACGTTGCAGCTTAGGAAGAAACAGGACATTATTAGGTTTTTAAATAGGAAGAAACAAGACATTATCAGAAAGAAACATGACATTTTGACATTATGCAATTCTCCTATGGATCTTAATTCCATGAATATTAAAGAAAAAGCCGTCCTTTCTTATTAATATCCAGTATATTTTATTTTGTAACACCAACTGGAGAATTTTTACTAATTAAAATCCACATGGACATAGTTTCTACCTGCCCTATATATAAATGTAGATGCCTTACCAAACTAACCCAAGTAGGCTTAAATGCATCTCTAGCTCTCTGCTTCTTTCAAAAATTGGAAAAAATATATCAAGAGAAAATTACAAAGAAACAGAAAATGGGTTGTTGGTCTGCTGAAAATGCCACTAAAGCTTTTCTTAAAACTATGAACATGGTAAGTACAATTATGAACTTATCATATCTGTAATCTGATATACAATTCAAATGATTTTTTCTCCTCAAGTTGTTACTAATGTTATGTTGATCTGATTCAGGGAAAGAGAGCTATAGAACCAAACGAAGCAGAGTTCATCTCCGCGCTCGCCGTAGGAAATAATGTACAACTTATGGTAGTTGCTTGTGCAAATGTTGCAGACTCCACCACCCGTGCACTGGCGGCAGCAGCTCAACAAACAGGAGGACGTGTCGTAGGAGAAGGGCTGCTGCTGACCAGAATTGGTGCAAAGGCGAAAAAAGGTTACGACTCAGGGGATGAAAAATAGAGGACATTGGATTGTTAAGGTAGATAAATGCATAGGAGAAGAACATGTATACAGAGTAAAATCTCCTCGAAGGAGAGTGATTGAAGCCTAAATCTTGATACATTATACTTACTACATGATACAACTAGTCTTTTAGAGAATTTTAGTAGATTATAATTGTAAGTACTTATTTAATGTAGAACACTTCAGCTTTTATGAAAAACTACCAAAATTCAAATATACGGGAGGAGAAATTTCGATAAATATAAAATGTATTTTCCAGTATTCTATTCTGATAACTTTATGGAGACAAAAATTGTTCCCATAGACATTTACTTTTGAGTTCCTAATATTAATTTCATATTTCAATTCTTTAGTTCTAGAAGTAGAATTCTCCCTAATAGATTGGGAAGAAACTGCATTATGAACCCGTACGTTCTACAATTTGAAGGAAACAAAAGTTAAGGCATCATGATATTTGCATTAGATTTTGTTTTACTTTGAAAGATCATATTCTTTAAAAAAATTCAAAACACTAGGACTGATCATTGTAATACTTCTTCAAGCTAACATCCTCTGTTTCTTTTGGCTAAGTAGGGATTGGGAGCTAAAATAGAATGAGAAAGGTGACATCTTTCTTTGCAAGTATACAATAACAAAGAGTCGTTAAGGCAACCATAGAACTACGCAACGATAAAAGGCCAGAGGCGAAGTTAGAAAATGACTAAACTAACCATACTTATCCATCTTACTAACTTCCCTCTAAAAAAATAGAACAGAGCGCGAGAGAGTAGTGGTAGAAAAGCAACAGAAAGGGTGTAACATTTGGAGTATGTACTGACCTTGATTGTTAGTCCCAGTAGATATAGACGATTGATTAGTTACATAGCAGCTTGTTGTGCAAAGGAAGCTTCTCTAGGTGAACGAGCATTGAAAGCTAGCATGTTAGGATCAAACCGTAACCCTGGATTCATTCTCCATTCGAAGCTCGTCATTCTCATAGGGTTCAAAATGGTCTTTCTTTAACTGATTTTTATACTTTCTCCAAGCATTTTGAATTGATTGAAAAATCCACTTTTTTGCATCTTCATGAATGTCATATTTTCCCTACAAATTTAATGTATTTAGGTTAGTATAAACAATATGAAATATCCACACACACCTATTAAATATTGTGAACTTCAAACCTTGATATATTTCCACATATCTTCTTTTGTCTCAAGTTTCCTCCAATTAAACACATTAAAAGAACAAAAGGTTGCATTCCTTGCCAGTGTACCGAGGAAGCTACCCAACTCATTTACCTCTTCATCAGTAGGACCTATGGGTTGATTGTTCTGATTTAGCACAATTTGCTTGCACTCTTTCACTCCACAATAGTACAAAGCAAAGATAATCATCAATCACTATTGCTAGTTAATTTTATTCACTCCACAGATATACTTATGTCACGACCCAAATCCCGGTCGTGATGGCGCCCAACACACTACTAGGCAAACCCGACCATTATTCAATCCTTAACCCAATTTATCAAAAATAGCGAATGGAAATATCAATTAATTCAAGATCAAAGTACTGAAGAGTTTAACAAAATACACAACATAATCTCACTAGGACCCGGTGTCACGAATTTGAGCCTCTAGAATACAGAATATCATCCTAATACATGGTATATCCAAAGTCTGATAATGCGGAAATAAAGAGATAGGATAGGAGGGAGAAGATCAATGGCTGCGAACGCCATGCAGCTACCTCGATACTCCCAGAGGCTGGATCTGCTAATCAACTGGATCTACTGAGCCTGAGACTACCCTGGATCTGCACACAAGGTGCATGGAGTAAAGTGAGTACTCCGACCCTGTGAGTAATAAAAGTAACCACAGTCCGAAGATAAGAAAATCCAGTAAATACACAAAGTAAACTAAAATCCAAATATACAACAACATATGGAACTGAGCAGCTAAACACCAGTATAAATACAAATACATGAATGCAATGCAATGCATATGATGGTACATTCCAGTACCCACTGCGGCGTGCAGCCCGAGCCATCCATATTTATTTATCGTCAACGGCGCTCACTGGGGGTGTGTACAGACTCCGGAGGGGCTCCTACAGCCCAAGCACAATATCTTGGTCAGTCATTGTTACCTAACCGGTCATCCATTGTTACCTGACCAATTTATATCATACAGTGCCATTATTACCACTGTNGCATTTAAAACCTTGGACTGAAATTAAATGATATGCAAATCATGCTAAGCAGTAATATCAATCCTCGAAGGATTTTAAAAATTGGCACAAGGCCCCAAACATGGCATCAAGCCCAGTAATATCAATGAAGTATATGTATCAATCACAAGTATAGTATAAACATCACACGAGGTGGACCAAGTCACAATCCCCAGTAGTATCCGACCCCGCACTCGCCATGGAGTGCATGTCACGCCTCAATATAGCGTTACGATGTGAAAGTCCGGGGGTTTTAAACCCTCAGAAATAGCATTTACATCCATTACTCACCTTTAACCGGCCGTAGACTAGTCCGCAATGCCCTTTCCTCTTGAATCGACCTCTTCGCGCGTCGAATCTAGTCAAAACCACAACGAATACGTTACAATAGGCTAAGGGAATATAACCCAATCGAAAAATGTCGAAAATCCCGAAATTAGCAAAACCCGAGCCCCGGGCCCACGTCTCGTAATTCAGAAATTTTTACATCAATACGACCCTTATCTCGCCACGAGTCTATACATACCAAATTCACAAAAATCGGAGTTCATTTGACCCCTCAAATCACCATTTAATTCTCTTAAGTTTCAAGCCCTAAACCACCATTTTTGTCCATAAATTACTTGAGTTTTCAGCTCTAATCCATGTATTTAACTTGGAAATAAGTAGAAACAACTCACCTTTGATGCTTGATGAAATCCCCCTTGAAATTCTCTCCAAAATAATCCAAGCCAAATGAAAGAAATGAAAGAAATAAGCCAAATCCGTGATTAAAAAAATCTGCCGGTGCTTCGTCGAGTTGTACCTTGCACTTGTGCTATACAAGTTGTACATCCTATTAAAATTGTTCCTTATCGGACACCTTCTGTTTAAACACCCATAATGTCTTGTATAAATATCCAAATGACAAACGGTTTGAAGATTTAGAAACTAGACTCAAAGTTCTTTAATTTGATAGGTTGTACACCATACAACTCTTTATATATCCCGAGATATAAGCTTCTAAATCGGCTCCATAAAATCAGAAAATTTCTGGAGAAACTGCTCCACCAGTCATCTGCAATCAATCATAACATTCTCTACAAATGTCCAAATTACAATTTCTTTAGCTTTCTGGAAACTAGATATAAAGCGATACAACTTTCATTTTTGAATTATCTCAAAATTCCTTGTAGATCAAAAGATATAGGTCTCCAAAGTACGCTCCACGACTGCACATTGCTGTCCAAAGACAGCTTAGCAGCAGAAATTGCAGCAGCTTTTATTTTCACTAAAAAGGCTCTAACTTCATCATACGAACTCGGAATTAGGAAATTCTTATTCCTATAAGTTACAAATAATAATACGAGCACAACCCTTCAATCGAAACTCAATTCGGAGCTCGTTTGCCCAGTTCAATACTCATTTCGCTCGTTAAACAATTAACTCACATTTCACGTCAAAAACTCAATTGCGACTTGATGAAATTAAACCAAAATTTCCAGATCAGATCTATAATTCATGATTTAAATTCTAGAAGTCTCAAAATCAAATTTGGATCTCTAGAACTAAAAATGGACCCTTGGATCATTACATGCTTATGCTCAAAACGACAAAAATCTTCCAAAAACTCTTCCAAAACTTATCCGAGCCTCATGGGACCCCGACCAAAAATGCCAACATAATTCATAACATCATTAAAACCTGCTCAAATCATCAAAACACCTCAAACAACATCAAATTATCCAAAACTCATCGAATTCAAGCCTAAGTTTCCAAAAACATCCAAAAATACACTTTCGATCAAAAACCCGACCAAACGATGTTCGAATGACCTGAAATTTGCACACACATCACAAATGATATAACAAAGCTACAGCAATTCTCTGAATTCCATTCCGACTCCCGGATCAAAATCTCACCTATCAACCGGAATTCGCCAAAATACTAACTTTGCCAATTCAAGCCTAATTCTACACTTACCTCCAAAATTACTTCTGATCACACTCCTAAGTCACAAATCATCCCCCGAAGTTAACCGAATCATCGGAATTCAAATCCGAGCCCTTTAACACATAAGTCAATGTTCGGTTGACTTTTCCAACCTAAACCTCCTTAAAAGAGACTAAGTGTCTCAAACCTTACCAAAATCATTCCGGAATGACTTCAAATTTTGCACACAAGTCACATTCGACATTACGGACTTGCCCCAACTTTCGAAACCGCATTCCGACCCCGATATCAAAATTTCCACTTCCGGTCGAATTTTCTCAAAAACCTTCAAATTTCTATATTTGGCCAAATGACTTCAAAATGACCTCCGGACATCCGAATTCACTTCCGATCGCGCTTCCAACTCCAGAATCACCATACGGATCTATTCCCAGACTCATAATCCCAAACGGACATCTATAACACTGAAATGCCTTCCAACCCAAATTTATGAAATTCTTCTAAAGTACTAACTTTCACAATATACGTCGAAATGCTCACGGGTTACCCAAAACCAAATCCGGATATACACCCAAGTCTGAAATCATCATACAAACGTGCTGGAACTTTCAGATCTCAATTCCGAGGTCGTTTACTCAAAATTCTAATCCTAGTTCATTTCTTCAATTTTAAGCTTTCAAAATGAGAATTTCCATTTAGATTTGACTCCAAACTTCCTGAATTTTAATTCTGACCATACACACAAGTCAATATACTTGAGATGAAGCCGCTCATGACCTCAAACTGCTGAATGACGCGC